AAAGTCATCTCCTCTGAGTGTCCTGCAGTTTCCCTAGAGTACTGTTTCTCACACCAATATGCATAGAACTACTTGGGAATCTCATTAAAATGGAAATCATGGCTCAATAAGTCTAAGAAGCTCCCAGAGGATGCCAACGCTGAGGTCCATGAACCACACTTTAGCATTAAAGGACTGGATTAGCTGAATTTGTTCTGTTCACTTAGCTGTTAAGAGTTTTGAGGCTCCAGGTGTAGAAGGAGCCTTAAGATTCAGCTTTGAAGGTGTCAGTGACCATGATGATGGTGCAGGAGATGCTGCTGACCTGGCAACAGTGGCTCTGGTGTGGTGATAACGACACGGTTAATGCTCTGAAGATGGTAGTTATGGTTTTGGTGGAGAGGCTGGTGGGAGGGAATGTGGTGGAGGGAAAGGAGACACTGATGGTAGTGGTTGGCTGGGGATGATGCAGGAGTTGGGGGGTTGGTGATTATGGCGGTGGTGATGCTGGTGGTGGTGGTGACTGGATTATAGTGGTGGTGAGCATAATATTGGGAGTGAGGATGGGGGTGGTAGTGCTGCTGGTAGAGGTGATGGTGGTGACAGTGACAGGGATCGTGGCGGTTATGGAGTTAGCAATGGTGTGTGTGGCAATGGTGGTGATGGAGATGGCCACACAGGTGGTGCTGATTAGCATCATAGCATGTATAGTTTATGGTGTACAAAGCACTTTTTCCCATGTTTTCTGATAATATAAAAAAAAAAGAGAACAGGATTCAGAGTCAGAAGATATGAGTTTGAGATACAATTCACCAACTACTGGCTGAATGATATTTGGCAATTCCATTTTTCCTCTGCACTCCATTTGTCACCTCTATTATTATCTATCGGGGTAATAATATCTCTCAGGGTTGTTTCGAGGCTCACATGAGCTGCTACTTAGAGAATATTATTGTACTGCAAATACACAAGGTTTTCCAGTTCTGATCTTCTTGATCAGGTGCCCAGCTGAGCAGGCTGGGGCCTTCCAGGAATGTATAAGCTAAGCTTGGGGTGTGATGTGGGAGAACCAGGGTGGCTCCTGGCCTGCAAGCTTTGCTCTAACTTCTATCATCATTAATTGGCTCGTGGAGCTCATTGCCCATCCTTCGTCAATGTGTACACATTTCCAAATTAAAGTCATGCTCAGTGTAAGTAGAAGGATATTTGGGGATGGAAAGAGGAGGCCTGCAGTCCACCCACAGCCCAGTCACTGTCTCTGTAGATAGGAGACCCCTATGCCTCCTCCTCTTCCACATCTTGTGAAGTAAAAGGGCTGTCTCCAAAGACACTTCCAGTTGCAAGAAACTATGGCCTTTGGCTGGGGTGGACTCCCTGGATGGTCTTCCTCTGGGATAAGGGAGGTAGCACACAAGTCCATTTAGAAGGCTGGAGTCCCAACACCCCATAGCCTGAGCCATACTATATCCTGAGCTAGTTTTGGCCCAAGAAAAGGGGAGCCTGTGCCTGTGGACCATACTCGGTTTCATCCCCTGGCTCCACATTGGCCAAGCTTTGTTTTGCAAAGGTCTAGGGAGAAATTTATTGCTAGAAGCTGGAATCTAGTTGGTCACATTAAGGATTCAACTTTCCCCTTCCCTTAGTCCCTGGCTACAAAAGAGCTTTATCTGTCTTGGGGGATCCCACCCAGGATGTGGCCATAGACAGAATTCAGCCTTTAATAGGCTTCAGGGCTGCTCGGAAATCCATGACTACTGCCAGCATTAATGCACTGATCTAGGTCAGGGGGCTGGAGCTGGAGCCACCTCTGAGGCTGGGGCAAGCACTCACTGGCTGAAGCTGCCCTTCTTCTCCCACACCTCCTGTGCCCACTTTGGAATACACAGAAGTTGCTAGAAAGACAACCAAGTGAGCAAAGGGATTGTCTTTCTCTGTGGTTGCTTCTTGGGTTATGTTCCAGGGCTCACCTGGTCAGGAGAGTCTGACCTGTGAGCAGGGTGGGGCAGAACCTTGTATCCGGAGCCTGCACCATCTCACTTCCTGTCTTCCCCAGCTTCCTGCCTTATTCCCAGCTTCCTGCCAAGCTTAGTGACTGACAGCTCCATCCCACCCGAAGAACGCCAACCTGGGAGGCAGAGGAAATGCTGTTTCAGACACCTCACTGCTCCTGGGATCCCCTTCCACCCAGGTTCCCAGAGCCTGCCTGGGCTCCTCCTGCACCATCCTCAACCACAAACCCAGTCTTTCACTCTTGCTGCCCCTAGATGCTCCAGCCTCTACTCTCAATGGGCCTTCAGCATCGGTAAGCAACTTGTATGCCCGCTGTGATTGCCCTGAGAGCAGAGATTGTCTCCTCCATGGTCCCAACCAAGCTGTCCACAGTGCCGGGATACCAGAACCTTCTAATATATTTACACAATCATGAGTTGAATGGGAATAAACATAGGCGAGTGAGTTATAATTAAGCTCGCCCCTCTCATGAGTATGTGCATTTTTATTCCTTTAACTAAGTCCTCTATAAGAGAGATTTGACGGCAAACCATTTTCCACTGGCCAAGAGGTCTCATCTAATTGGTGTCTTCTCTACAGGGAAGTGGATCCTGCCCAAGGTGGGCAAGGGGCTGCTTGATGAGAAGGAGGCTGCACTGTGGGACAGAGGAAGGAAGCGATCGGTTTCTTTGGTTGTTTTAGGTTTTTTTTTTTTTTTTTTTTTTTTTCCTTTCTGAAGCAGCCTGGATTCTGCCCATGCTGCAAAAAGAGGCTCATTGAGCAACACGGTTGCCCCAGCTGCAGGGAAGCATTTGAAAGAGTGGTCCATCCCCTGGCTGCCCGCCAAGCATGAGGCCACAGCTGTAACACTCAGTGGAGAGGATAAAAGTCAGAGGGGAGATGAGGACAGCTGCGGTGGGAGATGAGAGGAGGCTGCGAAGCAGAGCAAACGCCAGGGAAGGAACTGGGATCTAATACACAGACTCTATGGGAAAGGCTTTCCAGGGAGGGTGAGCAGAGTCAAGGCCCAGTGACCAGAAGATGTAGCTGTGTTGGGCAGGGAGTTTAGCAAAGTACTGGGTACATGAAGAGAATAATTCAAAAGAAACTTGAAAGGTCATCAGAATCCCATTATGGAGGCCCTTAGGCCATGCTGAAGAGTTTTATTCCAGAGGCAATTGAAGCATTTTAGAATCTTTTAGAAACAAAAAAAGTTGAATAATTAGGGAAATAAACTAAATTTTTCCAAGTATCAACGGGCAGGCATTTTGCTGGGTGTGTGGCATAGGCCTGTAATCCCAGCATTTGGGAGGCTGAGGCAGGAGGATCACCATGAGTTGGAGGCCAGCCAGTCTGCATAGCAAAACCTCCTCTCAAAAACCAAAACAAATAAACAAAACAAAATAAGGGTTGGAGGCTAGGGGTATGTCACAGTGGCATAGTACTTACCTAGCATTTGTGAGGTCGTGAGTTCAATTCTCAGAACAAAAAAAAAAAAGTAGGAATTTTACAAATGTTATCAAGTCTACCTTCACAGTCATCCCATAAAGTTGGTGACACAACTAGGAATTTGCACAAATCACATAGATATATTTCTTAATAAATTCTTGATATGCTTCTCTTGTGCAAGGATACATTAAGTGAGAATGTACTCCAGCAAAACCAGACTAGATCTCATGGGAATACAAAGGGCGTTTCAAATGCAAGAAATGCTGAGATTAATCTAAGAGTCGAGTGAAAAGAAGTCTCAAGGTGATGGTTGTTTAGTGAGCCTCAATAGAAGTTCGTGCTCCGTGAAATGTTCCTGCTCCATAAAACAGGTTCCAAGGAGAATGTCTTTTAGGCAAAAAGAAAGGATTCTAAGCAACACATAAAGTAAATAAGAGGCAAGTGATAAACTAGAAATGCTAGTACATGCCTGTAATTCTAGCACTTTGGGAGGCTGAGGCAGGAGAGTCACAAGTTCAAGTCTAGTCAGGGCAATCTAATGACTTAGCTAGAGTGACTTAACTAGACTTAGCTAAAAAAGAAAGGAGGAAGAGGAGGAGGAGAGCAAGGAGAAGAGAAGGGAAGAAGGAGAAAGAGGAGGAAGGGCAGGAGAAGGAATCTAAGTGGTAATTAGGACATGATAACAAGGATCTAGTTTTCTTTGCCGAAGCAGAAAAAAATAAAGCAATCAAACACTTTAGGAAAAACAAGTCATTAAACAAGGAAGGTTTGAGTCAAACAGAAGCAACATAAGAGGTAAGATGCCGCTGAGCAAATGGCAGAAATAAAATTTAAAAAGTCTGCTTGTCCTTTGAGGGACACAGGTGTCTGCTCTCAACATGGAAAGAAGGCAAGATACCCACAGCTGTCATCAGGCCTCGTGTTCAGTCACCCACGCGGAACACGTTCCTCTAGGCCCGGGATGGAGCCCAGTGGCGCAGGCGGCGACCTGCCTGAGTGTGACTCCCAGTACAAAACACCAAGCACATTATTCTAAGTACCACTTAGTTTGGCTCAGGTTTTGGCTTTTGAATGGACCACAGGCAAAGAAGAGAAAGGTTCACTATGGTTTCAGGACAGAATGTAACGCCAGCCCACTGGACAGTGTAAAAATAAATACTGAGGGAAGAGAGAAATGAGGGGAGGGTCAGGTGGTGACAGCCACCTCACAGAGTACGGAGCCAAGTCCTTTGGGGCTGACGAAACAGAGCTAATGACAAGGCCAGGTGTGGGGGCGCATCCCTGTGATCACTGCACTGGGTAGGCTGAGGCAGAAAGTTTGAGGCCGGCCAGGACTACAGAGTCCCTGTCTATGGAAAAAAAAAATGCAGAAGAACTAGAAATAATAACTGTACCAGTCAGAATTCAGGAAAAAACCAGATATGGTGGCGCACTCCTGTAATCCCAGCACTTAGGAAGCTGAGGCAGGGGGATTGTTGCAAATTTGAGACCATCCTAGGCTACAAAGTGAGCTCCAGGCCAGCCTGAACCACATAGCAAGACCCTGTGTCAAAAAGACAAAAAAAAAGAAGGTTGCTGGCTTTTGAATCGGGTTCTGGAAAGTGTGCGGGTGCCATGTCCGGCCACGAAGGTGGCAAGAAGAAGCCCTTGAAGCAGCCCAAGAAGCAGGCCAAGGAGATGGACGAGGAAGATAGAGAGTTCAAACAAAAGCAAAAAGAGGAGCAGAAGAAACTTGAGGAGCTGAAAACGAAGGCCGCGGGAAAGGGTCCCCTGGGAAAAAATAAACTTCCTTGTGCCTAAAACGATGCTGACCCTGGATTCCATTCCTGTTCCGTTATGTGAATTCCCTTCCATAACATCTTTTGACACCCATAATTAGATTGAAGTGTGTTCTTGGAGTCTGTTGTACATTTAAGAATAAAATTTTGTAAAAAAAAAAAAAAAAAGAGGAAGAAGAATTCAGGGAAAAGGCAACTATGACAGGGATCCCAGATCACACAATTTCAGGAGCCGGTTGCACTGGTCTAAGGCAGACATTGCCTCTGTGACCCTTATTGGAACTGAAGTCAGCGTAACTGGCAGCTGGGAAGAAAAGGTGGAAGTGAGACTGTGGTCCTTCCAGGGGGAGAACCACCAGCAGCTCCTGAGATCCGCGCCATGTTGGAATTTAGGACCCTGGGAAACCAAGCAAGCAGCTCCCCTCCCTGGTAAGCAGCGGTGGTGTGGCAGGCTGCGGGCCTTCCAGGGGGAGAATCACCAGTGTCTCCTGAGATCTGCACCATGTTGGAACTTTGGACGCTGGGAAACCAAGCAACCAGCCTGCCTCCCTGCTAAGCAATAGTGAATAGGTGCACAGCCTAGAGTCAAATATCCCACTTCTACCCCCCTTGCTTTTTGTGCCCCCGTTAGCAAATGGGAACCAGAAATCTGGAGGTTGACTATAGAAAATAAGGGGGACTTCCTTCTACCATCTCTTTGAAGGCAAATATTTTTGTTACTGTTTTGCTCTATTCTGATTAATGGTACTGCTCTATTCAATATTCTGTTTTGATAAGTTCTATAATGTTCTGTATTTCATTTTATTTTGATATACATAATTGAAGGAACAACTATTGTAAAGATAACAAAATATACCGTGATACCTATTGCTGTTATCCCGGTAACCTGCTGTGAAGTTCTGTACCAATTTCACTGTACAATCTTAGTTGGCTTTATTCTGTCTTATTCTGTTGTATTTTACCACTTTCAAAATAAAATTTAAAAAAAAAAAAGAGAAGGTGGAAGTGGGGAAGAGGGACAACCTGAACCCACAGGGACAAACTGAAATCTGCATCTGCCTCTATCTGCCTCCAGTCTCGGTGGAGCCAGGGATCTGATAAGCAGGAGCCCCGGCAGGGAGCTCCACCTGGCCCAGGCCCCAGGCAGTGAAGAAGAGCAGGGAGGAGCCCAGGTCAGCAGCAGCCATGTGAGCAGTGTCAGGGAGCTGCGGACAGTAAAAACAGCTATCACTTCCCTCTGCTTTCCAAATGTGCACTAACTTCCTCGGTGGCCTACCCTGACCTGGAAAATGCAGGGGAGGAAATCTGGGGAAATGTACCCATTTAGTTATTTTGGTTTTTTACTTTTTTTTTTTTTAATCGGTACCAGGGATCAAACTCATGACCGTGTGCTTGCAAGGCAGGTGCTTATGCCACTGAGCTAAATCCCCAGCCCCAATTTAGTTATTTTGACTCAACACATATTTAATATACTCTGAAAACATGGAGGGGAGACAAGGGTGGTTGCAAGCTGGGCTCCCTGGAAGCAGATGCTAAAAGGGTTCGGTGCCTGCCATTCATCAGGATGAGAGCTATAAGAAAAGGAGGATGAAGAAGGATGTGAGGGCGGGTGTTAAACTGCAGTGCAGACCCAGGCCAGTCTCCACCAGCAGCCTGAGCGCCAGAGTGGGCACCGACCATTACAGTGTCCTGGGTTGGACCAACACAGCCTGGCCTTCCCCCTCTCACCCCACCGTAGCCCTGACAGGCTGTGGCCTCCAGTGACACAGCTCTGTGCAGCCCAGTGGACTCTGAACAACCTGGCTGTTGGCTGCACTCCCCAGAGCTGAGCAGCAAGTTGATTTGAAGAGGGTTCTGGGTGGTGCAGCTCTGTGCCTGTGGATCAGCTCCTTCCTTTATCAAATTAGGGAGCCTGGGGGAAACACTCGCAGTGGGACCTCAAGGGAAAAACAGAACACTCGGCTCTGCACACAGACAAGTTCCACTTGGGTTCAACCAACTACACGTCAAAAATAACTGAAAAAAATGTATGTGGGCTGGGGGTGTGGCTCAGAGATGTAACACTTGTCTAGTACACATGAGGTCCCGGGTTCAAATGTACAAAAATCTGTCTACTAAATACACAAAGACTTTTTCCTTACCGCTACTCTCTAAATACAGGTTATAGCAACTATTTACATGTTATTTACAGGGCATGAGACAGTATATAAGTAATGATTAAACGTATATGGAAAGACATGTGTCATGGTTTTATGTTGGAGGCCCCCAAGCCTCATGCCTTTGCATTATGCACTTGTAATTGGTTCATTGTCTAGCGCTTGGACTGGGGGTGTGAGTGCTACACCCAGCTAGGGGTGGAGCCAGTATACAATATAATGGCAGGAAAAAGGTGTCTTGCCCGCTTCTGGTTTCTGCCTTGCTGTTTGCAGCCACCGCGAACTGGGCCCCACCGTGCCACCCTGCCTTGGAGCCAACTGAGTATGGACTGAAACCTCCAAAAACTGTAAGAAATAAACCTTTCCTTTCCCAACTTTGGGCATCAGGTGTTTTGTCTCAACGACAAGTAAAAAGTAACTAAGACAACATGCATAAGACAACGTGGGCATTTGTGGATACTGGTATGGGAGGTCCCAGAACCCACCCCCATGATTACAGAACACAACTATATTAGCATGGTGCTCAGAGACACAGCGGTAAACTGGCAGAACCAGAAACCCCCAACACTGTCAAAAGAAAGCTTGACTGAACAAAATATTGGAGGCTGCCTTTTAAATGTAAATCCTGTACCATTTATTTTTCCAATCATATGTTTGTAGTTTTTCAATTAAGTAGTTACAAAGTCTTAAAACTTTAGATCTATCTGAGTCTAAAACTGTAACCCAGAGTCGGACCCCAGGAGCTAACCAGGCAGGCATGGCCAGGTCTTTTTCAAGGGGACAGACAGACCTCCTGCGTGGTCCCTGGGAGCCAGGCACAGCTCTCAGTGCCAGGTCCTTCAACTTGTGCCCCAAAGGATGGGTGCCCAGGCACTGGGAGACTTGGGAACCACCAGCCCCCACACTGTGTTACATGGTGGTGGGGGGATTTGCCATAACTGAGAATAAGGTTGCCCTTGTGAATACTCACATTCCTCCCAAATTTAACATCTGTGGTTCAGGCTGAGCAGCAGGGTCCTGCCGTCCACCAGAAGACATTGTGATTGGCTTGGCCTACAGGAGGGCAGGGCCTCTCCGGGGCTGAGCACCCTTCCCCCAGGCTGCCAACATGCCAGCCTCATCGGATGTTGGTTTTTCGGATGATGGTCCCGTTTCATTAATGTATTTGTTTTTCATTTACATTTATTTTCAAATGATATATATATGCAAATATTGTAAGTATTTATGGGGTGCCATGTGATATTTTAATACATATATATACATTGTATATGTTCAAGTCATATGAAATATATCTATCACCTCAAACATTTGTCATTTATAGTGTAAATGTTCACTATCTTTTATTCTAGCTTTTTGGAATGCATAGCACATTATGATTAACTCTGGTCCTTCAACTCTCTAGGCAACAGAGCATCAGAACTTGTTTCTCGTGTCTCATAACACAGTAGCCCCTGACCCACCTGTAGCCTTCCCTCCTGCTTCCTATTGTCCCCAGCCTTTCTGGTGACTACCAGGGTACTCTTAACTTCTATGTGATCAACTTTTTATATTCTACATATGAGTGACCTCGGGAAGCTCCTGTCTTCCTGTGCCTGGCTTATGCCATTTGACATAATCATCTTCGTTCCACCTATGTCGTTGCAAGTGACAGGATTTCATACTCTTCATGGCTGAATAGTATTCGATGGTGTGAACGTACCATGTATTCGCTATCCATTCATCAATCGATGGACACTTAGGTTGTTTCCGTTTCTTGAATTTCCAGGTTATCACGAACACAACTGCAATAAACATGGAAGTGTGGATGTCTTTCCACCGCACTGATTTCACTCTGGAGATGTACCAGATATGGGACTGCTTGAGTATACAGTAGCTTCATTTTTAACTTTTTAAAATCCATACCGCTTAGATGTTTTTGAAGTTTTTAAACACCTCTGTACATTTTTAGGTTTATGAATGGAATATAATGACAATACTGAAAGTTTGGAGAATAAAGAAAAGTTCCCCACAGCTCCACCACCCTGACACAGTCATTTCTCTCTTGCCATATTTTTTCACTTCCTTATCCTTTTCATCATTTTTTAAAAGTCATCACATTATACGTTGTGCGTAGTCATCATGTTATACACAAGTTTTAACCTTTGCCTCTTCTGCTAAGTTTATATCATGTTTCATCATTTTTATGCCTAGATCTTGTAACCTGAACAAGTACTTATTAACAATATGCAATATATTAACTACTGTTAGTATACTGCAATCTATTTCTTACTTTTTTTAAATTCTGGGTTATTTCTATCCTTCTTTTCTGTTTTGCTTTTTTAAAAATAAAGAAAAGAATTTTGTTCTATGGGATTCATAACTCATTTTTAAAAGGTAGCAGTAATAGGTCAGAGAGCTGCATCATATGAGACCAGGGGTTTTGTCTCAGAACCTAGGAATGCAGGGTGCTAGTACATACTAAATAATACTAGATAAAATTTGTAAAGTAAGAGGGTTAGGGTTGAGGCTGAAAGCCCAAATGGTATGGTGCAGGCTCTGGTGAGGCACTGTGGCAGATGGCAGGGCACAGGCAGGAGGAAGTGACATGGCTCTGACTTGGAACCAGATAACACACGCGCACGCACACATGCACACTCACACCCTGAAGGATGGAATGAAAGATTGGGCCACAGTTTGTCTTCCTAGCTTCCAAATGTGAGGCATTAACAAAATTTGTTTTTCAAACGTGTTGCTATTTGTCCCCACCCCACACATCCTTTATTTTTTCCTACTTTATTTAGTTTCCCCAGGACACCACCAAACAGTGCTCTTTCCCAAGTCACATGGACTCCATTCTTCATGGATCATAAATCAGCCAGGTATGCGCCGAGCTGGGTGTTGAGTTACATGAGAAAAGCCAAATGGTGTTACTGGTGAGTTAGCCGAATGGGAAGCATCCCAAGGCCATTGGGGGTCCCTCCTGAGCTGGGCCTCCCACATCAGAATCCACTTGTCCTATCAACACCACTGTCA